CATACTCCGACCCATGGTGACCCTGTATAGGGTTTCTGAGATGCAGCTGGGGAGCTTGAACCACCGACCCTGAGGCTCAAGCCAACTTTGCAGTCCAGTACATTAACCCACCTAAATATACCACTGCATGAATATTTTCGAAAGGTCAGCACAAGTCTGGTCCCTATGAATTGGAGGTTAAAGCTATCCCAGCTGTTTGCCTTTTCCAGCATTCTATACTATTCCATAATTCTAGTTATTATTCACCACTCCTGCTTTCCCTCAAGTCCCAGGGTTCTGCAACATGCTTCAGCCTCTCATAAAACTCAAAATCGTCAAAAGAAATGGCTCACGCAATTTTGGAGGCTGACAAGTCCCAAATTTGTAATTCAGAGATCGGTCTAGAGGAATCTTCTCACCCATGTAGTCTGAGGAACCCCAGTGGGCAGGTCAGACAACAGGATGTTGATGCACAAGGCTGTGGGAGCTGGTGAATCAGGGCAGGTGATGGGCTGAAAGTACCACAAACTGGAGGTCAGATGTAATGAGCCAGATGCAAAATCCAGGGCAAGAGGGTGAATATGTCTAAAGCAGTCCTATAAATTAGAGTCTGTCCATGCCTCCATGGGAAACTAAGGGTGGTGACTTGAATCAAACCCTCTAGTAAGATGGGGGCATCCTTAACCCTTAGTTCTACTGTAATCTTTGCTTCTTGTTGTTAAGTGCCTTCGAATCAGTTCAGACTCATAGTGGCCCTGTCCTGTATAGGGTTCCAAGGAGCAGCTGGTGAGTTTGAACCACTGACCTTGTGGTTCAAACAGGTGTTGCAGTCTAGAACTTTATCCTACAGCACCACACCAGGACTCTTAAATCTTTTCCAAAACAAGTCCGTAATCCCATGGGCATAGAGACAAAGATTTATAATAAATCATTAAATGGAGAAACTTGGCTAGAAGGGCCGTAATAAATAATCGGCTGCCTGCAACTGCTTGGTAATCTCTTATTTTCTTTCTGATGTTTGTTTAGTTTTTCCCAACTTGAGTGACTCTTCAGTATCAGGTAGTGAGAAAACATGTCCTGTAACATAAGTTCATGCTGTTAACCCACAGAAGACTTACAGGTCACAGTGTGTGGCAGACAGAAGACTCAAGTTGGATCTCCTTTTGTCAGACTTATTCTGTCCTGGTCTGGTACGACAGCCTGCCAAAGCAGCCTCGCTAAGATATTCACATGACGAGGAAGTGTGCCTTTTAGTAGTGGGCTTTATAATTGAAGCAGTTTTCACCCCCCACATTTGAATTTTCCAGTGAACTTTGAGGCACTGATCATTGCGATGTCGGTGGTGGGAGGCTCCATCATTCTTGGTCTAGCGATCTGCTGCTGCTGCTGCTGCTGCTACAGAAAGAAGAAGAGCCGCAAGCCAGACAAGAGTGAGGAGAAAGCCATACGGGAGCGCGAGGAGCGCAGGATCCGGCAGGAGGAAAGGTGAATTGTCAGGGGTTCTAACTGGGAAGATAAAGTTTAGAAGTCTCAAGGTTTCTCCAGTTAAAAAGTAAGGCATGTGCTCTGGGCCCATGGGGTTTTGTAGGTCACAGTATGAAAGTGAGGTACTGCATGGTGGCCATTAGCATCGTCGTCACAGGTTGCTGCTTCCTTGTCTGTTTCCTCCAGTTGAAATAAGAATCCCAGCTGGCAGTACCTGACCTATGCAACCTTCATGTGTACCATTTATTGAGTGTGCATCACGATTGTCAAGATTGGGTCCTCAGAGAACTATCTGCAGAAACTGCCTGTTGTCCCATTGCCTGTCTGGTGTGCCTTGTAGCCAAGCTCATTTTGACTTGGTCCCCTTCTGGGCAGTAAGAGGAAACCCCCAGCAAAGATAAACCTGCAATTTACTTGCTCAAGGAAGATGGGAGAGTGTATCTTTTGAGGTTATGTCTGTCATATGTTGTCATTTGATGCTAAAGGCTATTTCTTTGTATTTTTTAGGAGAGCAGAGATGAAGTCAAGACACGATGAGATCAGGAAAAAATATGGTAAGAGTAGACTAAGGCTGCTTTTCCATTGATCATGGCTTGCTGTCCTGTCATCTGGGTAATGTAGAGGACACCTGACTTGGGTGGGCCTGATAGTTCCCTTTTAGGGGTTCCTTCATCAGAGCCGTAAGAAGGCATTGCTGAGAAAAGCAGGCACCTTTATTCAGGGTGGTGGTAAAATGAACTCATTCCACTGACAGAATAAACCTTAGAATTTTTTAAATGTCGACCCAGCTTCATGAAGCTTCCTTCCTTTGATACTTGTGTGCTCATAATAGCATTGAGGCTTTCAGAATAGTCCATCTGCCTTGTCATCTTGTTTGTCCTTATACGGGGTGTGACTCAAACGTTCTGTCTTTGCTGACACAGTCCTGCATCCTGTGTTTGCCCTTCATGCCCATCTGTAATTACTGTAGGCCATACTATTTACCAAGAAGGAACCGACACTGGGTGTGTGTTCTGTTCAGTTTGATTGTTTGGAGAGATTGGGGTGATAACTGAAGGAGTCAAAATACAAGCACTTTATCTCATTGGAACAGTTCAGAGTATAGTTAATTGCTTTGCTATTGGGTGTTGTCCAGTTAGTTCTAACCCATAGCGACCCTGCATATGTTTTCTAAGAGCTGCTGGTGGATTTGCACTGGCAACTTTGTAGTTGCTAGTCCAGTGCTTATCCTACAATGCCATTGCTTGCATCCTCTAAATTATGTAACTATTTAAATATGGATGACATTGTGAAGAATGGGAATTTCTGAACTCTTAATTGTGTTCATGTAAAACCGGTACATGAATTAACAGACATTTGTTAAAATAGAACAAGGGGATACTGCATGGTTTAGAATCAGAAATTATATGTTGTATCCTTTCACCTTATTTAATATGAATGCTGAACAAATAATCTAAGAAGCAAGATTGTATGAAGAAGAATATGGCATCAGGATTAGATGAAGACTCAGTAGCAACCTGGATATGCAGCTGCTTGCCAAAAGTGAAGATGAAGCACTTACTGATGAAGGTCAAAGACTACAGTCTTCAGTATGGATTATTTCTGAACATAAAATGAAAATCCTCACAGCTGGGCCCTTAAAGACATCATACTATTGACCTAACAATTCCATTTGTAGTTTATATACTCAAAAGACTTTGAAAACTTTGATTCACAGAGACTTGTATACCAGTGTTCACTGCTGCACTAGTCACAGTAAGCAAATGGTGGAAACAACCTAAATGCCCACCAACAGATGAATGGATAAACACTGGGTGGCACATACATGCAGTAAATACTGCTCAGCCAGTGGGAAAAATGAAGTCTTGATACATGCTACAGTGTGGATGGAGCTGGAAGACATGCAGAGTGAAGAAAGGACAAATATTACATACCACTTATTTAAAAAAGACAAGCAAAAAACGAGTATAGAAAGAGTAAAGTTTATTAGGGGTGGGGGAAGGGTGTTAACAGTGATAGAAAAGTTGCATTAAGAGTAGGGTTGCACAGCTGATTATTGTAATTGTTGTCACTATGTTGTACACTTGTAAAAAGTTGATTTGGCAAACGTATGATAAATATTGCAACAGAAAGTTGCTGCTCAGGTTGTTCATGTATAACCAAAAACTTCATGGGCTTTGGTTCTTTGATTTGGAAGTTTAGAGTTGTGGTTTCATGGGATATTCTAGTTAATTGACCTAAGAATGTGTTGAGTACTGATGTTCTACCTCCTAGTTCATGGCATAGTGCCTAATGTCTTAAAAGCTTTCAAGTGGCCACTCAAAGCATAACAGTTGGTCTCTATTTGCCTAGTCCAATAGAAGAAAGTCAGAATTAGGAGGATATGAAATGTGTGACTAGTTGCCTCTTTTGCCATGAGACCAGTGTTTCCCTATTACCGTTACTGAGGCTTTTAATCAAAGATTCCATGTTGTTGTTAAGTGCCGTCGAGTCAGTTCTGACCCGTAGTGGCCCTTTATAGGGTTTCCGAGAAACGGCTGGTGAGCTTGAACTGCTGATCTTGCAATCCAAATGACTTTGCAGTCTGGCGCATTAAAGTACAGCGCCACACCAGGACTCTGTAGAAGAATCAAAAGGTGGGAAATGCAGAACAGAATTTCAAATTCTTTTGGCCTCTAGACTTTATGGAGCCATGGAGGATGGATGAACTCCTAAAGTTATTTTCCTGGCATGGCCTTTAAGCCTTAAACTAATAATAATCCCTTGAAATCTTGTTAAAACTAACTACTAGTTCATCTTAGTTAATGAAAAATATCTGCCTTGAGTTTTACGCTGTTTTAAGAACTACATGGGACCAAATTGAGAACAACTTAAAAGATTACATAGAAACCTTATGGGGAGTGGGTTTATGTGAACGAGGCAGGAATGCTCAGAAAAGGAGGGTGAGAATGATTATACAACTTGAAGAATGCAGTCATTGCCACTAAATTGTACATATGGAAACTGTTGATTGGTGTATGTTTTGCTGTGTTTGTTCTCAACAACAGCAGCAAAATAAATCAAATTTAAAGGAACAAAGCATAAATGGAGAAAAAATTGTTGTCAAGGATTTCATTCTGCTTGGGTCAACAAGCATCAACCATAGAAACAATAGTCAAGAAATAAAACAACATAATGAATTGGGCAAATCTGCAAAAGACTTCTTTAAAGTGTTCACAAGCAAAGAAATCATTTAGATCAGTACGATGCACCTGACCAAGCTTTGGTCGTCTTATCAGTCTCTTCATAAGCATGTTAAAGCTGGGCAATGAAAAACGGAAGACTGGAGAAGAATTGATATATTTGAACTGTGTTGATGATGAAGAATACTGAGTCCTAGTGTGGTGCTGTAAGATAAGCACTGAACTGCAAGTTCAATCCCACCAGCTATTCCTGGAAACCCTATACAGGGTTGCTGAGTCAGAACCATCTTACTGGCACTTACCAACATCAGAAGAATGAACGAGTCAGTCTTAGAAAAAATAGTCAGAATGCTCCTTAGAAGCAAAGATGAAGAGACTTTGGTTCACTTATTTTGGGCTTGTCATCTAGCAAGACCAACCACTAGAAAAGGACATGTTTGGTAAAGTAGGGAATCAGCTATGAAGTGGATTGCCAAAATAACCACAGCAATGGACTCAAACATATCAAAGATCTTGGAGACCAGGCAGGATCTGACATTCCTTGTTCTATTGTGCATAAGGTTACCAAGAGTCAGAGCCACCTCAGCGGCAACCAAGTTTAAGTTTTAAGTTAGACCCATCTGCGTGAAGGATTTCACTGTTTTTCCTTTTCACATAGTTGAAAGTGTTAATATTGCTTTCATATTAGCTGGTCTATGAACATCATTAGAGTTGGCTCTGTGTGATTGGAAATGGAAGAAACTGACTCTCTTGACCTGTGGGCATCAAGGTGCCTGCTGACCCCTGGCCTCGTGCCCATGGCCTCAGGTAATGTGGTGCAGCTGCCTCAGGGGCCCCTCTGGTTGTGAGCCCTCTTTAGCCTGCCTGCAATCCTAAGTACTCTCACATGGTCCACTGGGCAGGCAGCTATAGCTGACCAAGATAATGTCAAAATCCCTTGTGATAAATATACTTTTTGGGGAAGTCCTTCATTTGTATAAGGAAATATGTCAGCTGATTTCAGCACCCTGTCTGTGAGGGACATTGTTAAGTTACTGTGATTTATTTTGTAGTCATCTGGGGAAATTGGTTACGCAATGCCCTGAGGTTCCAGTAAGCAAGTCAGCCACAGCTTCCAGTAAAAAGTAGTTGCTGCAGGTGCTAGTCCCTAGGAATAATACTAAGTACCAGGGGTTCACTTTCCCTTTGAGCCACTGCCCTGGCACTGGCCCTTCAAGTCACAACTGCATGTGCCATATGGGCCATCTGTAAGCCATCTGCAAGCCCACAGAGGCTGGTTCCAGGTGTGCGGCTGGGCCTCTGCCATTGCTCTCCTCGCCCACCTTTACAGTGCAGTATCCAGCTGTGGACAGAGCCAGTTTCTCATGAACTCTGCCACTCAGGCTCCACTACTTGTCAGCTGCAGGGCAGTGGGATTCTCTCTCCATGACCTTTCTGGCCATGGTCTTCAATTCCTACAAAATAATTGGCTGGAGCTATGCAGATGAGGTTGTACAACTCTTGCAGGGATTGGACAGCAACTATGCAAATAATGTGTCTGTGGTCTTTCTAGGGGTTGATTAGTTCGTAGTCTTCCTAGGGGTGGGGGAAAGGCAAACCTTGAGATTGATAAGCAGCTTGCTGTATAAGCAGCTTACCCAACAGCTTTGGGGAAAAAGTAACAGGGAGAGAGGAGGAGGAGCAGAGCGCCAGTAAAGCCTGGCAGAAGTATGCCTGAGTGAAGGGTCCGCTGCTGGGAGGGAGCTCTTGTAGTCTGAAGCTGTCCACATTGAAGGCACTGTATGTATCGTGCCTCCCAAGTTGACCCAGACCCTGAATTGTAACCTCTCACTTCCCCTATACATCAGTTAGTTAGCTCTAAGTACAGTTTGTGGTTTCTGTGTTACCATTTGCAGTGAATCACCAACCCAAGTACTGAAACAAGAATATAGAAGGGAGGGGAATAGTTGCTGTTAAAAATAATGGAGTGGTATAGCAGTTTGGGACATCTTTAACCTCTACCTCCTAGGAACCAGCTTTGTGCTGATTCTTATTTTTTGAAAATTATTTACCAGCTATTCCTCTTGACACTTCTTTTGTTGACACCAATTTCGGAGTGTGTTTGTGTTGGGTCGTGACAAGGCTGACTGTTGGTGCTTGCCTATACAACCCTGCCTGCACGCAAATGGGTTTCTGTGAAATTGAAAAGACTCAAAACTGAGCTGTTCTTTGAGTGTTTTTTTCAAATATGGTTTACAAAGTCCTCCTTACTACCAAGCCTGGCAGCAGTTTGCTCCACTAACTCCCAGTGTTAGCAGGGCCCATCCTGGCCTGTGCGTGTGCTCAGGTGCACTGAGGGCTTTATTCCTATCATTTTGGTGTCATTTTGGGCTGTTACTCACACTGATGAAATTAACTTTTCATGCCAGTTTATGATAAAGCCGTTGAATGAGATAGATGGACTTTGGAAAGCTGGGAGTTCCCCTAGCGGAGGAGTGTCACAGACACTAACTTAGTTTCATTAACACCTAAAGTCTCAGCATGTGGTGCCCTGATGAAACCTTATTTTTGGTCTTAGAGAGGTTTGGCATCCTCATCACAAAGTCCCTTACCTTCATTTCCCCTGGCAGCTAGAATTAGAGTTAGGAGCCATTTCTTCACAAGACCTTGGTAAAAACTGCTTGTATTTGGTATTTGCTCACGTCCTACAGAAGTGGCTGTAGCTTGTGAGTCTCACTGTCCTGTGTGTATCTCCCTGCCTCCTCCCTCGGCTCATTGCCTCCACCCATGTCGTTCATTAGTGGGTTAGGGACAGAAATAAATGAGGCCCCATTGGAGGAGGTTGAGTACAGCCTCCCATGGCAGTTAGCTGGGCAACCACCCTCATGTAGGTGTCAGTGCCCTAAACAGTCTGGGCTATTTGATTGAAAGTTTCAATGCCTGCATACAAAGGCCCTAACATGGGAGAGCATGTGACAGAGGGTGAGACAATCACCTTTCACTACAGGCTACTTAGGGCAATGGTCAGTACAACACAGATGTGTGTGTGTCTTCAGTGCTAAGAGAAAATGCCTACTTTTTGGGTAACAACCATAGATTTATTTATTTCTATGGTTGAATACATACTTTATTCCTATTATATATATAACGGACTCCTGGTGTAGTGCTATAGGATCAGCACTAGACTGTGAACCACAAGGTGTCAGCAGTTCAAACCCACCAGCTGCTCCCCGGAAACCCTATACGGGGTCACTATGAGTCAGAACTGACTCGACAACAACATATGTATAATACTTGAAAGTTAAATTGTTGTCTTCATTTTTTGTAGCCTTAATTATGAAAGTTAATCACCAATTATAAAGGTGCTTAAAATAGGTTTGTTTGTTTACTGATGGGAGGGGCATGGGGCTGATGGTTACGGTAGTGACCAACCTCTGTGGAATGAAAGACTGGCTTTAAATTTAATTTCATCTTGAGAGAATCAGTAAGTAAATCTTTTTTAGGATCTATTTTAATTCTTGTTTCCAGTGAATTTTATGTAGGTAAACTTGGCTTTCTTGGTCAAAAAAATACAAACTGCATTATTGTTGTTATTAAGTGCCATCAAGTCGGTTCTGACCCATAGCGACCCCGTATAGGGTTTCCGAGGAGCAGCTGGTGAGCTTGAACCACCGATCTTGCAGTTCAAACAGCTTTGCAGTCTGGCGCATTAACCCACAGCACCATACCAGGACTCCTAATTGCAGTATTAAGCCTGCATGAAATAAAGGTTTTTTCCTATAGCCTCTGGAACTGTATTTACATTACTTTCTTGAATTTTGTTTCCCATTGAGTTTATAATGCAAGTTCATTTGGTTTTCAGGTTTGTTTAAAGAAGAAAACCCATATGCCAGGTTTGAAAACAACTAAAGACACTCCCCAGCTCTCAAGCCATCCTGGAGCTTCTTGGTGAGGTGAGGCCGTGCTTCTGAGTCTCTCCAGCAGAACTCACTGCCTGATACTACCCCTGACCCTGATGCGGTGAGCCGCACCCCAAAAGGACAATCTTGGCCCGTCCCTGCAGACTGAGCACCTGCTCCCTCTCCTGATTGATTCATCTAGCCACCTGAGATACTAGCAAGTCGTTTTTTCTGAGGAGGAAATGTGCACATCTTAACTCTTTTCCAAAATTCCTAAGCAGATTTCAACGAGCAACCCTGTATCACCGACAGCGTGTTCATCCTTTTAGTTGCAGCACAGAATTCTGACACCTCGGCCTGCTAACAAGCAAGGATGGAAGGCATTTTGTACTTTAGCCATAATGGGGAATCGCACAACCCCCTGGGATTTCTCTCACCACCAAGTCACCTGCTCACACTGCACGCGCGTGTTCATTGCAATCCATTGTCGTTACAGCACAGGCCCAACACACACTTGGTCAGAACGCTCTCCCCAACACTGTGCTGAAGATCAAGCACTAAGGAATGGTTAGAATCACTTGAAACTACCACACCCCCCTCAAAGATCTTACCAAAAATTTAGGTGTACAAGCGCAGATTCTTTATTGGTTAAATTTAAAATTTATATCTTTACCAGGATTTTCTTTCAACAGAAACTTCTATTCATACAGGTAACATGTTTTCTCAGGGCAGCAGTTGCCTATTGCTATGTACTGATGGAGCTTGAGAACAGTGACTGCCTGGCTTGTCCTTTTCACCCCCTACTGCCAGACTCTGTGCAGTCACCCTGCCCTGAGGTCTCCTCAGCCGAGCCTAGCGTCCTCGTGCCCAGCCAGGGGCCAAAGGGGGGAATTCAGGGGCCTCGAGTGGCAGCTCACAGGCAAGCCCCTCACCAGAAAGCATCTCTGCCCAGAGCCAGTAAAGGGCCTCTTCACACACTACATAGTCAACACTGACCAGTGTCCTGCCATCGATGCCTCTAAGCTTCGAGCTTTGTTTCTCTGCTTTCAGCATCAGGTTCTAAGTCTGTGGGACCTCTGACATCCCCATTGTGCATGTGATACATTTCTTCAAAATCAAGATGTATGCCAACAGTACCTGGACAAGTACTTCTTGGCAAGTTTGATGTAACCAAGTGGGAAATCTTTCTTAAAAGTAATTTGAAAACAATCCCAGCTGCCACATTTTTCTGAGTTAAAATACTAATTTTGAAAGAATCATCTGTAGGCATATAAAGCAAGTACTTTCCCTTTTCACACTTAATAACTATCATGCTATGGGGAAATGCTTCAGCATCAAACAGGATGTGAGAACAATGCCATCAAGCCGCCCAATAGGCCTCTTTTTATACCTGTATTGTCTGTACCATGAGTTAACATTTCTAATATTTTCACACAATAAGAAAAGATCCTTTAGCAGATTCTTTAGTCTTATCTCTTAGACTTCTTGGGCTTTTGATAGGAATTTTAAGTATTATGAAACATTCCTAAGTATAGCTGCCTCAAATTTTTACTTTTCACTTTTTATTCATGGAAGGAACTTTTAATAGACTTTAGTACACTTTGCATTAATACAGTCATATGTATATAAATCATACTGTTCTTGAGTTGAGGTTACTGAGCTGAAAGTAAAATGGCCGAGAGATAGAGGGATTGTGCTTAATCCTGGTGTGCAGTATGGAACACCCAAGCTAGGACCTCTGAGGTGGTCTACTCTGCATACATTTTTCTGGAGCAGCCACAAACTATAACCTCAAGGAAATCTGTAACCTTTGGAGTGCCTTAATTTTTAACTATTTTCAATAAAATGATTTTAAAACAATTTTTGTTTCACACATTTTCTGTTGTTTGTATTTAATTTATTGGTGCTAGTATGGGGAGCGAGCTTAGCCAGGATGGAATGATAGACAATCTGGACAAAGGTCAACTTCTGGGCCTAGTGTGTGAGCAAGTGGTTGTTGTTGTTACGTGCTATCGAGTCATTTCCAACCCATAGTGACCCATAGTATACGGTTTCTGAGGAAGAGCTGGTGATCTTGAACTGCAAACCCTGAGGTTCAAGCCAATTTTGCAGTCCAGCACATTAACCCACAGTGGCAAACAGAAACTGAGGGGTGGAGCCCGTATTGTTGGCATCTGCCTCTGGGGTCCCCGATGCCCTTTATTCCAAGCTTGCTGGGAAGCTGCTTACATAGTAAGCAGTTTTAAAAGCACCTATCACAAGGACGATTGTTTTGGTGGGCTAACTTGTTCTGGAATGCTGGGCCTGGAGTCTTTTTCCCAACAAGATTAGTAGGAGGCATTCCCAGTGTGGTCCCCCACCTACCTTTCTAGATCCATGGGCTGCCCTGATCCTTGAGAACAACTTGAGTATCTCAGAGCCACTGGAAGAAAAACTGAGTGGAGACTGGGGTGGTGATGAACGTATGTATCATACTTTCTGGGTGCCAGAATGCAGGGGCAGCCCTGGCTTGGGGGTCTCAACAGGTTGCAGTTACCTGAAGGCTTGCCTGGGGCTACTTCCAAGTTTTCAAATTGTGCCAGCTGTGTGCAAGAGGCCTCAGTTCGTCTCCACATAGCTTCTTGAGTGATCTCACAATGTGATAGATGGCTTCATATCAAGCAAGCCATCCAAGAAACCAAGCAGGAGCTGCTGTGCTTGTGGTGCTAACCTCAGAAGTCACATTCCTTCACTTGGTCATATTCCACTGGACACTCGACCAGCATTGTGTCAGTGTGTGGGAGGAGCTCACTTAAGGCATGAGTACCATGAGGTCTCAGTGATCACCCTAGAGGCCATCTTGGAAACTGATGACACCAGTAGATAAGGCCTGATCCAGTCTATGCTTGAGTTCAGCTCAACACATTTAAAACGTTCCCAGTGATAGTTCATAGAGTTCTCCAGCAAAATCATCATGGTGGAAAGAGGTTAAAATCTTTACTAATTTTATTGTGTTCTTTGGTAAGAGAGGGAGGGAGGATGAGAAGACAAAAAGAGAGGCACGGTTTAGAAGGATTTGAAGGTAGGTGTATATGTTGAGCAAATAATCCAGGATGCTGAACATGGCATTAGGATTGGAGGAAAACTATTAATTCATGATATTTGGATGATACAACCTTGCTGTCTGGAAGCAAAGAACACAATATACTGATGAAGATAAAAGACTACAGCCTTCAGTATGGATTCAACCTCTGTAAAAAAAAATCCTCACAACTGGACGAATGAAACATTAAGAAAAACGGAAGAAAGATTGAAGTCAGAGGCCTCATTTTGCTTGGATCAGCCACCAGTACTCATCGAGCCATAGTCAAGAAATCAATGGATTTCTTTATACAAATCTACAAAAGACCTCTTTCAAATGTTCAAAAGCAAAGATAATGAGCTGGACCCAAGCCATGTTGTTGTTGTTATGTACCATTGAGTCGGTACCTACTCATAGCGACCCTCTGCACAACAGAATAAAACACTATCCAGTCCTGGCCCACCCTCACAGTTGTTGCCACTCTTGAGCCCATTGAGGCTACCACTTTGCCAACCCATCCTGTTGGGAGTCTTCCTCTTTTTCTCTGACCCTCCACCCTACGAAACATGATATCCTTCTCCAGCGACTGGTCCCTTCTGACAATATGTCCAAAGTATGAGAGACAAAGCTTGGCCATCCTGGCCTCCAAGAAGCACTCTGGCTGCGCTTCTTCCAACACAGATCTTTTGGTTGGTTTGGCAGTCCATGGCACTTCCAATATTTTCCTCCAACACCATAACTCAAATGCATCAATTCTTCCACAGTCCTGCTTATGTACTGTCCAGCTTTTGCATGCATGTGAGGTTACTGAAAATACCATGTCTTGGGTCAGGTGCACCTTAGTCCTCAAGCTGACATCTTTGCTCTTCAACACTTTAAAAAGTTCTTGTGTAGCAGATTTTCCTAATGCAATACGTCTTTTGATTTCTGGACTGCTGCTTCTGTGAGTGTTGATAGTTGATCCAAGAAGAATGAAGTCCTTGACATCTTCAATCTTTTCTCTGTTGATAAGAATGTTGTTTATTGGTCTGGTGGTGAGAAGTTTTGTTTTCTTTACATTGAGATGCAATCCATACCAAAGGCTGTGCTCTTTGAT